AGCCTGAAAATCCATCTGGGTTTCCCACATTGGGGGGAGGGACTCAAGAACTTGATCCCATCCTCTGATGCTTCCCTGGCACATCCACTGGGAACTGGATCAAAAGCAAAAAGGCCAGGACTTGAACTTGCACTCTAGTGTGGGATGTAGCTGTCCTAAGAGGTAGCTTAATGTGCTGCACTACCACCCCACTGCATACTTTATTCTCCTGCTTTAAATTTCTTTTAATTTTTTAAAAAATTACTTATTTATCTATTTGAAATGTAGAATGACAGAGAAGGAGGGAGCAAAAGAGGGAAAAATACAGATACCTTCCATCTTCTGGTTCATTCCCCAAATGCTCATAATAACCAAGGCTGGGTGTTGCTGAAGCTGAGAGCTAGGAATTCTAGCCAAGTCTCTCAAGTGGGTGACAAGTTCTCAAGCACTTGGACCACAATCCAAAGCTTTCCCTAGTTCACAAGGGAACTAGATCTAAAATGGGGTAACCAGATTTTGAGCCAACAATCTGACAGAGGTATATCAAGTGATTACTTAACCTGTGCCACATTGCCAGCTTGAACTTTTAACTTTATTACATTCAGATTCTTGGGTATACGTAGCTCTCAACACTTTTTTTTTTCTCATGGTTTTTTAATCAAATGGGGTAAAATTTTCTTTGAAAGAACTGCTACTGATACTTTCCCCAAAAGCTGGTGATATCCAGGGCTGTGCTAAGACAAACGTTGAGAGCTTAGAACTCAATCCAGTTCTTCCATGTGGATTGCAGAACCCCAACTTCTTGATCTATCACTGCCACCTCACAGGATCTCTGTTACCAGGAAGCTGGATTCAAGAGCCAGAGCTTGGAATCCAACTCATGTACTCTGATGCATGACACAGACATCTAGACTACTAGGCTAAATGCCCATCTCATAAAACTGTTCTATTTTTATAGCATATTTAAGTATCTGAACATGTAGTTTCTTTTAAGCCATTTTGGTTTTTCAAAGTTTCTCCCTAATATTTCAAACTACTATACTGTAAATGTCTATGTTATTATTAGACCATGAGAATTAGAGAAGTGGCTGAAATAAAGGAGAGCAGATAAGAACTTGGGAAAGATGTGACTTGCTTAGTTGGACTCAGAAGGATGCATTTTATTTGGTTTCGCAGAGGAAAAAGAAAAAGTGTTCAAGTAGGGGGAGTTGACTCAGCAGCATCTGGAATGTATAATGGATAGTGGGAGAGGCTGCATAGAAGAGATATAATAGTTGTGGAGTATCAATGAAATGCAAGTGAACGACCATACTGAGAATCTCATGAACCTACTCTGAGGTCAGCTGTACCCTTGGCTTTTCCTGCTTTGTTAGTGTATTCTCAGTGCCTTGCTTTCAGTCTGTTCCAATTCAAATGTAGACCACTATTGCTCTGACTTGCTGAAAAACAATTCACTCACAGAAACATAATGTTGACCAGTTTGTGAACCACAGTTTCTTGTCCTCAACACCATTTGGGTGGAAAATTCCATTGTTATGGGGTACTGAATTATGCATTGTAGTATTCTATCTCTGACCTCTACCTTCTAGATGTCAGTTGTCCTGCCTCCTGATGGGGACAACTAAAATGCTCCCTAGACATTGCCAAATATACCTTCGGAGCAACATCAGTACCAGTTGAGAAGTATAGATTAACATCACAAACATTACGAACAAGTCGGTGGAAGGCTTCACAGTGCACAGCTAATATCCTTTTTGTTTCCCTCTCTGAAGTCTGTCCCTGAAATCAGGTCATCTTTATTTATTTATTTTTCTCAATCTGTTCCAGGATTCCCCTGCTGTGGTACTACTCATATTTTGGGAAAGAGAATTATTTGTGATTTTTTAAAAAAGATTTTATATGAAAGGGATGAGAGAGAATGAATGAACAGGAAGGAAGGAATGAAGGAAAGAAAGAAGGAAGGAAGGCTGGCCTCCTATCTACTGGTTCACTCCACAGGTAGTCATAATGGCCAAGGTTGGACCAGGCCAAAGTCTGGTAGCAAGAGCTTCTTCCAAGACTTCCATGTGGGTGGTAGATGCCCAAGCGCTTAGACAATCTTCTGCTGCTTTCCCATCAATTGGCAGAGAGCTGGATCAAAAGTGGTGCAGCCAAGACATGAACCAGTGTCCTTATGGGATGCTAGCATTGCAACAAATGGCTTTACTACCTATGTCACAATGCTTGAACCTCTTTGTTTTGTGCGGGGATTTCTTATGTGCTAGAGGATGTTTTCTGAGACCCCTATATTCACTTAAGGAGATAGACTACCACTGTACCCTCCATTTTGACAAATATTTGTCTAGCCGTTGAAAACACTGAACATGGTAGGTAACCACTGACACACATTCTACCAAAGTAGGAAATTTGTAGGGTTGTATTCATTACAATTCACAAGATGTAATACCCAAACCTATTTTTTTCTTGATTATTCTGGAATTAACATTGGGCAAAAACAACCAAAGTTATTTCACTCTGCTTATATTCTCTCAGGGATTCTCCATCTCACATCCGTTATTCTAGGCCAGGTACTTATTTGTTGTTGGGAGCTGTCCTGGGGTTTGTGGGATACTTATAAACTTCCACCAACAAGACATCACCAGAATCTCACTTATTACACTAACCCAGAGTTGTAGCAACTTCTAATATCCAAATACTGTCAAAAGTCTTCTGGGGAGCAAAATCACCCCCAGTTGCGGTCTCACATACATTTCTCAATATGCTGGAGATTTGATGGTGAAGCACCAAGTGTTTAAAGCTACACTTTTAAAACCTCAAATACCTATACACAGTCCTTGACTCCCCCCCCCCCTTGATTTTTTCATTTTTTTAAAGATTTATTTTTATTGGAAAGTCAGATATACAGAGAGGAGGAATGACAGAGAAAAAGGTCTTATGTCCGCTGGTTCATTCCCCAAACTGCTCCAATCTGAACCCAGGAACCCAGAGCATCTTCAGGTCTCCCACATGGGTGCAGTATCCCAAGGCTTTGGACCATCCTCGACTGCTTCCCCAGGCCTCAGACAGGGAGCTGGATGGGAAACTGGGACATGAACTGGTGTGCTCATTATGGGATCCTGGCACGCGAAAGGTGAGGATTTCAGCCACTAGGCTACCATGCCAGGCCCTGATTTCTTTCTTTTTTGAAGACTCAGCTGAGGCATGCCAAGGGAAAAAGATTGTGACATTATTTTTTATTTTTCCTGAGATGCTAAAGCTTAACTATTTCTAATGGTTTCATTAGCACAGAATTTTAAAGTTTATGTAGAATTCTTTTTTTAAAAAAGATTTATTTTTATTATGTTTTTTATTGGAAAGGTGGATATACAGAGAGGAGAGACAGAGAGGAAAATCTTCCGTCTGATGATTCACTCCCCAAGTGAGCACAACGGCCGATGCTATGCCGATCCAAAGCCAGGAGCCTCTTCCAGGTCTCCCGCGCGGGTGCAGGGTCCCAAAGCTTTGGGCTGTCCTCGACTGCTTTCCTGGGCCACAGGCAGGGAGCTGGATGGGAAGCGGGGTTGCTGGGATAGAAGTGGTGCCCATATGGGATCCCGGGCGTGCAAGGCGAGGACCTTAACCACTGCGCCACCGCGCTGGGCCTAATGTAGAATTCTTGTAAGAATTTAATTTTGCAGTTGTAAAATGCAGTTAGTGTCTAAATAAGGCACAAGAGAATCCTAGATATGAATTAGAAATAATTGTACTAAAAGTGGTTTCTGTGGCAATTGTGTCACTTGATAAATTCCTTTTCTCTAGTAGCTATTTTTCCTTCACATTTGTTTTTTTCCCTTCATTTGTGCTTATGTGCATTTTAGCTTTTGAATTGAATTGAAACTATGAAAGGAATAGCAAAGAATTGAAAGAAAAAGTTCCAGTTGCATTTCAGGAATCAATAAAAAATGTGGAACACAGTATTCTGGTCAAAGGGGGTGGGGACTTCTTGTTTGATCTAAAATTTCCTTTAAATAAGAAAATAAAATGTTAATGTATGGCTGGAGAAAGCTATAGTGTTACAGGATGTTAGAAGTCAATGGAATCCTCAACTTATCTTTTTAACGGAGATTTATGAATTTTATCAGAAAATCAGAATTATAGAATGAGAGATGGAGTGATAGGGAGAGATCTTCCATCTGCTAGTTCAATCCCCAAAATGCCACAATGATCCGAACTGGACCAGTCCAAAGTCAAGAACCAGGAGCTTCTCCTGGGTCTCCCATGCGGGTACAGGGTCCCAAGGCTTTTGACTGACCTCTGTTGCTTTCCCAGGTTACAAGCAGGGGAGTAGATCAGAAACTGAGCAACAAGAACACAAACCCATGCCCATATGGGGTGCTGGCAGCACAGGCAGAGTATTAGCCTGCTTTGCCACCTCACTGCCCCTCCCCAAATTACTTTGAAAAACTGTGTAATATACCATTTTATGAATTATAAACTGAGACCTTAGGAAGATAAGTTTTTAACTAATGATTAGTGACAGAACTCATGCCCAGCGAGTCTCCCACCCTGCTCTGTTGATTGTCTCTGTGTAATAAAATAGAACTATGTAATCTTCTGTAAGATTTGGCACTTGTTTTCTAACAAAGGGAACAATAGGGGAGATGTGTCTTAGGGATTGTAAGAATAACAAATGGATGGAAGGAATATTTTTCCTGGGATGAGTTTGATGAAAGCTATGCTGCAATTCAGTGTATGATAAAAATACTGTTGTTATTTTCTGTGAATTCTTCTAAAAAAGACAGCTGGTTATAAAATAGCATAGATTTAAACCAATATGTAACATTTAATTTCCCCCCACATAGTCACACACACATTTAAATTTTGTTGTGTTTTTTTTATTGAACATGTGTAACACTGGAAGCTTAGCAGTATTATCTATGAACTCATTCTATCTTGAAACTGCTAGCAGGTATCTTATCTTGAGCATTTGTAACAGTGGCTTGAGTCTTCTAATAACCTCGGAAGCTTTTTTATTGTCAGCACTAAAAAAATTTCCTGTATCGTCCCTGGAACATTTTTGATTTTTTTTCTGTCATGATTCGCTTCTGGACCACATATTTCTTTACCATTGTTACAAGATCTTTAGGGACATATTGATTTGCTCGTTCCAAAATTTTAACCAGCTCATTAGCCATCTTTGCCTCATTTGGAGTAATCAGGGTAATTGCAGTGCCATGCCTTCCTGCTCTTCCCGTACGTCCTACCCTGTGTACATATTCTTCAATATTTTTTGGGAAATCATAATTGTACACATGTGTGATGTCATCAACATCAAGACCCCGGGATGCTAAATCAGTCGCAATGAGTATCCTAACTTTTCCAGTTTTGAAGTCCTCCAAAGCTTGCTCCCGATCACTTTGCTCTCTGTCTCCATGCAGTGACTGTATAGGCATGCCTTGGATGCTCAAATCACTCGACAAGTCATCAGCAGTAACTTTTCGGCTGACAAATATGATGACTTTGTCACTGGGTGACATGCCCTTTAAGAACTTTTGCATAAGAGCTTGTTTCTCTACTTCTGTTGTCACAATCACATTTTGTCTCACTGAGCTTACAGCAACTAGATCTAGGGTACCAACGTAAACCATCATAGGTTCTTTCAGATAGGAATTTGCAAGACGACGAATGGTATCTGGCCATGTTGCACTCATCATAATAGTCTGTCGGTCTGGGCGCACATCTATTAAAATCTTCATTATCTGGGGTTCAAAGCCCAGATCTAGCATTTTATCTGCCTCATCCAAGACCAAATAGGTTATGCTGTTTAGGTTGATAAATTTATTCATTTGCAGATCGCTCAGTCTCCCAGGAGTTGCAGTGATGATATCTACGCCTTTGGCAATGTCTTGTATTTGTCCATCTCTGCTTGCACCACCATATATGCAGCAACTTTTTATACCTTTATAGGAATATTTAGAACATTCACTTTCCACCTGAATAGCTAATTCTCTAGTGGGTGTAAGGACTAGCATGCCAGGTCCATTCCTTTCTTCCCTAGATGTTGGTTGGGAATCCAGATGAATTAGCCCAGGCATTAAATATGCCAGTGTTTTGCCAGTTCCTGTTTGAGCTACCCCTATAAGATCTATTCCTTGTAGAATAATGGGCCATGCCTGTGACTGAATTGGTGTTGGCTTTTGAAAACCTGCATCTGTGATACTTTTCATAAGTTCAGGATACTGCTCGAAAGCATCCTCAAAGGTACAAGTTGGATTGGGAATTGGCCGTTTTTCACCATCTTTCAAGTCTTCACAGATTACATTGAAATTTTCCTTTCTCCACTCGTCTACTTGTGTTTTGGACATTGATCGTGTAGCTTCGGATTCTGTGTAGAAGTTTTTCCTAATTTGTGGTAAGCTGGCCCATTTTCTTTTCTCCCACTCCGCAGCTTCCATACGAATTTGATCCCAATCCAACAATGGTCGTGCTTCTCTAGCAGTGTTAGCTGAAACTGAGCCACTTGTAGCGCGAGGCCAGAGTGTTGTACGGCCAATACTGGCTTCTGATCTGTACCTTTCTTGTCTTTTAACCACAGCATCTATATCTGCTTTTGCCTTTGCCTTCATGTCACTGCTGCCAAAAATTGTTACTTCTGACTCGGTGTCCCCCTTTATAATTCGTATTTTCGTGTTGGTCAGACTTTGTAGATCTTTTAGTTTAGATCCACCACGCCCGACTACGGCACCAACCACATCGTTATTCAGCATAAAGCAGAGGGGTGGTTCGTCGGAATCGGAGGGCATAGACCCCAGCCATCTGGAGGGTCCACTGTGGCCGCCATGACCACCACCTCTGGGCCTTCCTCGGCCGCTGCTAAACCCGCCACCGCCACTGGTCCCAGGATCTCCCGAAGGAGGCTCTGCCTGCTTCTCCTCTGGGGCCCACGACATGGTGGAGTAGTAGTAACCACAATGGCCTTTGGCTTACATACGTCTTCGTGATACACACGGATTACGGGGTGAATTGAGAGCCGAGATTCCCGACCTCTTTGTCCTGGGGCTTCATAGGGACAGACAGCAGTGCCAGTTACTGGCATCAAGTAGTTATGGCGGCTGCAGGGGTGGGCCTTAGCAACTTGACCAATCACAAAGCTTGGGCTGCTTGACGTAAACAGGCATTGGTGATGTAGTATTTAAAGAAGTAGTCACACTTAGCAACTGACCTTGTGGGCAATTTTCAGCACTCTCAAAGTGTTTCCTTAACTTTTGTGTCCTGCCTCACTCACTCTCCTGGAACTAGTTTGAACTCCACTTAGGAGAAGCTTTGAAACAGGAGTTGGCACTTTCTGTACTGACCCCTTTTTCCTTGCATATCATTTCGTAGTTAACAAGATCTTCGTAGTACAAGAATATAAATAAGCCGTCAATTTAGATACACTGTAGAAGAAACCATGGCAACAATCTGGACACACTGGGCATTTAACTTCTATTAAAATAGTTCCAGGGGCTAGAGTTGTAGAATAGTGTGTTAAGCCACACTGGCATCCCATACGGGTGCCAGTTAGTGTCTTTGCTGTGCCACTTTCAGTCCAGCACCCTGCTATTTGCCTTGGAAATGCAGAAGTAGATGTTCCAAATGCTTATGCTCCTGGCAACCATGTAGGAGACCCAGATGAAGGTCATAGCACCTGGCTTCAGCTTGACCCAGCATTGGCTGTTATATCCATCTGGGGAGTGAACCAGAGAATAGAAGATCTCCCTGCCCTAACCTGCCCCATCCCATGCCTCATCTTCCTATCTCTGTTTAACTCTGCCTTTGAAATAAATAAAACACATCTTTAAAAAAAATAGCTCCAGAGGTTGGGGACTTTGTTCATCTCAGGGATACCCTCTCCATTATGTAGCAGTTTTGTGGTTACAAAGGTAGTGTTGAATTAAAATCTGCTGCCTTCTGCTTCCTTATGTTCTTGCGACTGCTGAAATGACAGAGTATATTTAGTCCTCCCTGAAATTCTGTGTACTAATCCTCCTCAGGTCTTTGTTTTTTCAGGCTCTCATAGTCCCTGTCACTTCCTGTTCTGTGACATGGTTTCTAAGGTGTACATCCTTCTGTTCCCAGTATTTTGGAAATGGTTCATTAAGGACCTTTTAGAATATAACACATAGAACTAAACAAAGAAACATATTACCATTGGAACTTATTCAGTGAGCAGGAAAGCATTCTTAATTGACCTAAGAAAGGCTACAAAATTGCTCACAGAGACAAGACAGATATTTACGTTCCTTTTGTTGTCAATCTGTGTTTACTGTGTTGATAGTTGTCTTGTGAATTTACATAGTGTTAAGGGCAGCTGTTGGGGAAGGCAGTTAAAGTGTCACTGGTCCATATCCCAGATCAGAGTACTCAGATTTGAGTCCTGGCTCTTCTGCCTGTTCCTGTTAATGGGCTACCTGGGAGGCAACAGGTCATGCCTCAGATATGTGGGTCGTTGACACTCATGTGGTCTAGCCTGGCTGTTTTAGGCATTTGGGAAGTGGACTAGTGGATGGGAGATTGATCCCCCCTCTTTCAAGTGAATACAAAAGATGAACATTTGTACATATACAATTAAGTTTATTTTCATCAAAGTGTCCTATTAGGTATAAATTTAATGATTATTTTCTCATATGTCATATTATGTTTTAGTTTTAAGTGTTCCACAAATTCAACAGTCATATCATCTTTTCAAACAAAATTATTGGCTAAAATTAAACACTATAAAATAGAAGTCTGTGATATGTTAGCAGAAACCTTTTCTTCCTCTTTCTCCTTCCTTCCTTCCTTCCTTCCTTCCTTCCTTCCTTCCTTCCTTCCTTCCTTTCTTCCTTCCTTCCTTTCTTCCTTCCTTCCTTTCTTCCTTCCTTCCTTTCTTCCTTCCCCTCCACTCTCCCTCTCACTCCCTCCCTTTTCTTTTTTTTCTTCTTTTCTTTTCTTCCCTTTTCTTTTCCTCCCTTTTCTTTCTTTTTCCACCCATACCGAATTCCCATCTCCCACCTGATATTCCTCATATTATCACAACAGTATAGTCTTTCATAAGGAGTCATGGTTTCATTAGTCTATTATTTAAGTGTACCCTGAAATGCTGGATACAGACATTATCAGAAAGTCCAGCATCACATTGTCTAGCTATGTCCAACAGTTTCATTGGGAGTCAATCTTTGATTTGGAAGTAGGGATGCTTATTGCATTGTATCTTCACATTTGGATATGGTAGTCTCTATTACTCAGTTACTATGCATTCCCTTAAATGAGAAGCCACAAAACAAAATCAACAACAAATATGAAGTTAAAACAACAGTCACAAAAAAGTTACAGCACCATGGATTTGAAAACGCATGCCACTGAATAACCACATGTATGATGAATAGAAAACACAAAAATATCTTGGGTAAAATGATGCCAGTGTGCATTCCATGAGCAAGTGATGAATTCAGCAAGAGAAAAGAAATCAATTGGAAGAAATGAAAATTAAATAAAAACATCAACACACATGGGTGCAACAAAAACAGTATGGAAAGGGTTATTAAACTTCCAATTTGCATGATGGCTTGCTTATATTAGAACAGACTCAAATCAGCATTAGACAGTAGTAAAACTACAAAGACATATGGGGGGGAATCAGGAGCGATCCTGACAACCTCTTAACAGGAGGTCATACGCATGGAGCGGGGGGTGGAGTGAAGCAGGGTGGACAGGAGAAGGCTTGTATCCCAACCCTGAAGACTTCCAGATCCTCACCAAGGACTATCAGTACAGGCACCAAGGACTACATCCCAACTACCAAGGAGACCACGGGGAATTGGAGTGCCATCAGAGGCTGAGAACTCTGAGGTCATCCACTCTTGCTTGGATCTACCACATAGGATGGAAGAAGTCCAAATCCTGCCTTTCCAATATCTAATTCATTAATCTTTCAAAAAGCAAAATATATTTAGTGAAATTTGATTTTTTTTACATAATGAAGAGTGTGTGTCATTATCTTCTTCCCCTTCTCCTCATCCCTATCTCCTCCCCTTCCCCCCCTCCCCCTCCCTCTACCTTCCCTAATCCTGACACTCCCATTCTTCCCTCTTCTCTCCCCCTTCTCCTCCTCCCCTCTCCTCCTCTTCTGTTCTCCTTCCCCTTCCCGCTACCTCCCCTTCTGTATCTCCCCTCCTCTTCCCCATCCTCCTCCTCTCCCTCCTCTTCCTTCTACTTCTCCTCTCTGTGTTCCTTCTCCTCCTCCTCTTCCTTTTCCTTTTCCTTTTCTTTACTTTGAATAAAGAATTATGATAGACAACAATAGAGTTACTGGAAACATTGGAAGACATCCTGTTCTCCTTTACTATAGAGACAATGAAGTTGGTGATATAAAATCTTCCATGAATTTGAGTAAGAATACTCAGGAAATCCTTGAGAGTGTTAATCTGAAACCATTTCTTGATTGATTGACATGCACTATTACTTGCTTACTATGAAGTGATTTGCTTCTACTCCTGTTGTTTTATGTAGGTGATAAGGAAGAAGAGGAGAGTGTGGAAATGAAAAGAAGGAAGGTTGTATTATTGGTAGAGCATGAGTTCTGAAGGCAGTACACTTCAGTGTGGGATTCACAGGGTGAATTATTGGGATGAAACAAAGATGACTTGTGGGTATTACAGTCAATGAAAGAAATTCCATTTGCAATCATCTATTACTATCTGTAGTTGAGCTTATCAGTTAGAAAAACTATTAGCCACCTAGATTAAAGTCCACTACTGTAATAGTGTAATACTGCAGTTCTAAAGTGAGCTTATTTCATGTGTCTTAAATATTCACAGTAGGTATATATTTCTGTGGCTTATGGTATGGTACCTTTGTGACTTTAGCTGATATAAAAATGGGCATACAGATAACTCTTTAGTATACTGATTTCACATTTTTTTGGGTAAGTATCCCAGAATGAAATGGCTGAGCCTTGTGCTTGATTTACTTTTACATTTCTGAGAATAAAATTTCTGAAATAAAGCCTTGTTATGACATATATTTGCATTTCCCTGATGGCTAGTAAACATCAGCATTTTTTCACATATCTATTAACTATATTTCATCCCTTGAAAATATTCTCTGTTCATGTCCTTTGCCCATTTCTTTACTCAAATGTTTGCTTCATTGCTGATTTTCTTGAGTTCCTTAAAAATCTTTGAAAAGCATCCTTTGGCAAATGTACAGTTTTCAAATATTTTCTCTCATCCTGTCAGTTTTCTTTGTTGAGTGCTTCATTTGCTGTACAGAATCTTCTTAGCTTGATATAATAACATTTGTCTGTTTCTGCCTCTATTGGGTAAGGTTCTGGGGTCTATTCCAAAATGTTTTTGCCTATACTGATGTCTTCTTACAGAGTTATCCTTATGTTTTCCTCTAGAAATTTGATGGTTTCAGGTCTTATATTTAAATTCCTGATCCATTGTGAGTTTATTTGCATATAGGTTGTAGGACGAGCATCTTGCTTCATCCTCTGTCTGCACAAATCCAGTTTTCACAACCATATCTATTGAAGAGATTGTTCTTTCACCAGGGGACAATTTTTAGCTTGTCTTTAAAAAAAAATAGTTGGTTGTAGATACATGAGTTAATGCCCAGGGTCTACAGTCTGTTCCAGTGGTCAGCATGTTTATTCCCATGCCAGTCCTAAGCTGTTGAAAAATGTGCATGCCCTGTAACATCTTGAAGTCAAGTATTGTGATGCTTCAATTTTTTTTTGAAGATACATTTATTTACTTGAAAGGCGGTTTCCAGAGGGGGGAGGCAGTGGAGGAAGGAGAGATCTCCATCCACTGGTTCACTTCCCAAATGGCTGTAACAGCCAGTGGCGGGTCAGAATGAAGTCAGGAGCCAGGAACTCTATCCAAGTTTCCCGTGTAGTTGCAGGTGCCCAAGCACTCAGGCCATC